CTACCAATTACCAAGACAGAAATCACAATAACCGACTTCCAGAAAAGAGGGAAACATTTGATAGCAATATGGTTGCCCACTATAGCCTGCGATAGAGTGGGTTTATTGAACAGAGTTGATGTTTCAGAAAATTACTGGATATTGGGAGGCCCAAACAACATAAAGCTTCATTAACTATGGTGGGATTTGCATTATTTCGACCAGCAGGTCAAATTAATAAACCCTTCGTCTTCATTAACCAATGAGAAGCAGAGGATTCCATCGAGGACGACATTCTCAAAATGTCTGAACATGAAATTTCCGAAAACCAGCATTAAGACAACATTGCTACGTCACCACGCGATAAGGTCATCGTGGAGGTAATCGACAAACAAATAATATTGTTCAACAGACACTATCGAGTGCCGATACGCTGGAAAATAGATCGGTATTCACTTCCAGGGAATAAACGTGGAATCGAAAAACGACTGATTGAAGGACGAGCATCTCCGCAAACAAACTACTTAGTGGGAGTTCTGCTTAAATTCAGAAAGCATAAAATTGGATTATCAGCAGATATTGAAGAAATGTTCCTTCGGGTACGTCTTCCTGAAAAGGATGCAAAAGCCTTTAGCTTTATATAGTATCCTGATGGTAAAATTGACTCTCACCCTGACATTTATGAGTTGAATGTACATCCTTCCAGGGATAGATCATTACCGTTTACCGCCATCTATGCCTTAAGGAGTACAGCAGTAGATCACTGAGATTGAGTCGATGAAAAAACCCAAGCCAACCTGCGATAAAATGTTTACGTGTACGATTGTCTTGTCTCATAAGAGACAACCTCTGAGGTTGCCAAGTTAGCGAACACCTTGACAAGGCTTGTAGCTTTTGGGGGTTTTGGTTTACATAAATGGGTCAGTAATGTTAACGACGCTTTGAATGAGGTCCCTATGGACGATAGGCCAGAAAATCTGGTTGGCACAGTAAATCCGATTTTTTTGCATTCTGTGTGAACTTCCCTGAACATCTGACTACTAAGAGAGGTGTACTATCACGTGTGTCATCTTTATGTGATCCACTTCAATTTCTAGCACTTCTATCACTAACGTCTAAATGAACTCTGCAACAGCTATGTTTACGTAAAAACTACGGATGGGACGAAATGGTTGATGAGGAGTTGCAGTCAAGTTGGAGAACTTGCTGAGAAGGAATTTCAGGTGTCAGAGCCCTAAGAACACCACGATGTTTGAATATTGAGTCGTCGGATTCAGTACAGATCTCGTAACATCTGCTTTCAGATGCTTCAGAAAACAGTTATGGAGCCGTGGCTTATATCAGATTGCAATTCAATGCAATTGTAACGAGATGAAGCTTCTACCTTCTTGGGAAAATCCACAATAACTCCTCTAAAATTTGCTAGTGTTCCACTCTTTGAACTGCAAGCCGCAGTAATAAAATACACACTTAACACAACGTCACGCTTCAAAACATATGTAGCTGATAGGACTAACTTCATTCACAAATAAACCAGGTCAACACAATGGAAGTGTGTGCATAAACAATTAACCCTGCTGATTCACCTTCTAGAGGAATGTGTAAGCATGACACTAACTGTACTGAAACTCGTTTTTAAAAACCCGAATTTCTAATAACCAAACGGAATAAGTGGTCTGAGTATAAACGAAACGACATATTGAGATTTCCTGTCGATCTAGAGATAAACAACGCTACAGCCTTGACCACCAAGACTGTAGTTTTTCTTTTTGACAGATTTATATCGTATTTTTCGTCATGGACCAAACTCAAACAATGCTTAGCTTGGCTCACTAGATTCAAACGTTACCTCCACAAGAAAGCTATGTGGAGCTGACTTCTTTCGCCTGATGAGTTGGACAATGCCGAGAAGGACTTATTGGAATTCGTGGGAGTTAGTCATCGGATAAAGCGGCACAGACATTCGGACAGTATCACTTCCAAGAATTATGTTATTACTAAGTTACGACCATTAGTAATTGACAACCTGATTCATGTAGGAGGACGTTTGGACAGCAGCGACCCCCCGATGTAGCAGAAGCACCCGATTATTCTTCCTAGTAAGCACCCTATAACTGAACTCGTTATCCAATATTTCCATCAATCTGAAGGACATATGGAGGTGTACCACAAAGCAGTCACCTTATAAAAAAATATCGGATTTTAAAGAGCACTGCTGCAATCAAGAGAGTTATGCAGAGATGTATAGGACGTCGGATTAAATCGGCCAAACCAATGTCACAACTGATGGGAGACCTATCGTCCACGAGGATAACGCCCGATTTCCATTCGTAACAATCGGGTAGATTATTTCCGCTCGACCATGATTAAAGAGGGGCGCGAATTCCGGAAGTGTTATGGTTGCCTGTCTACATGTTTCATCACCCGAACTATTCAAATAGACGTTGCCTGCGCATGATCAACCGATTTCTTTCTGATGGCGTTGTCGAAATATTCAAATCACAGAGGGGGGCCGAAGAAGGCATGCAGTGATAGAGGATCTACATTCGTTGGGTTAGAGAAGGAGTTACAACTTTCATCACCAGGTATCTAAGATAATAAAACAGCTAAAGAAACCACTCAATGGAACATAGAACGGCACTACTACACACCCTACGCAAGACGTCGTGGAGGAATATGGAGAAATTAGTAAGAAACGTAAGTAAAACTTTGAGCGCAGTATCTAGTGAACAAATTCTGTCTTATAAGACACTCACCACCTATCCGACTGAAGTAGAATGAATACTTAGTGGTCTACGTTTGGTACCAGTTTACAGTGACCAAGAACATCTCGAAACATGGTCACCCAACAACTTACTGTTCTTAAGAATACCTCACCTTCATCACATTGAAATAAACCTACGCGAACGTAATTCTCGACAATGGCGACAAGCACAACCGTTGGCAAATATATTTCGGCGTCGACGGATAATGGAAAATTTGTCACTCTTGCAGACCCGAACAAAGTGGACATAAAAAGTGCGAGATTCGTAAGCTGGCGATCTGGTCTCTAACATTGAAGATACGTACGTACGAAATAACTGACCTAAAGTTCTGGCGGTGTGTGCTGATCCAGGAGAAGATCGTCTCGTCAGACAAGCAAAGACCAGAACATTGAGAGTTAAAATCACTAGTGATATACGTAAATTTTGCTTATTAGAATGAGAAGACGATTGAATAGTAGAATGTAGGGTGTTAGGTCCCGAGAAACATAATAAATAGTAACTTTGGGATCCTTTTATGGACAAATACTAAACGTATATTTTTATCGTATGATTTTTAAATAACTAGACTATTCATATTCATATCCCTCTGATTATAAACTTTATTTTGACCTATAAACCATTATTTTACGTTTTGCCACTCTTGAATTAGGCCCTATATTAGTCACTGTCTCACACATTCACAGCCACATTTGGCCAAATTTTGTTCAAATGTTATTTTCTATTATATGCTACGTTGTGGTCTGTCTGATTGGTATATTAATTCAGTATGTTTGAAATATAATGATTTATATCACATAGGCTGAGAGTGGTGTTCTGGAATTAACTGGCTGAGATAGGCGGAAAGCAAGACCGATTGGGACTCTAGACTGCACGCACTTGCTTTACGCGTCATTGGTTCGATCGATAATTTGCTGTTTCTGATTGGCAGATTTTATCTATAACAGTAAGATATTGCGGAATGACTGTGGCTAAAGTAAATTGTACCATTGTCATATCTGATTGTCTCCACGCTAAATATCTAGTCCGTGAGAGTAAGGGAAAACATGCTGTCTTCGATGGGTGATGTTAAGTTACTTTTACATTGTTCGTACTCGCTCCCCCTTCACTCTTTTTAGTATTGTTTTATACTACATATTCACATTCAGAAAATAGTTGTATTCTTAGTAAAGTTTGGACTTTCGTTGTAACGCAAGTTGTCGCGTAATATTCTGAAATATTTACACATAATTATAACTCTTATTGTATTAACCAATGTATTTCTCATTACAATCACTTTACCTTAATCACTGTAGCAGTTATCTACAGTTTTGTTCATTTGTTTAAACGCAACAGTTTCCAAATTGTTTTGATCCCGTTTCGGGTTTCAAATATTGATTAACTTACCAAATTTAGACACACCTATCAGCTGCCTTTTGTACTACCGAAGCCTTTTTATTTTATGCAGAAAGACGCGCCACAGACACCTCACAAGCTGAGGTTTGTAACTAAAGTTTGCGTATTATTCAATAAAGAACCGCTATTGCAGATAAATCTTTGTTTTGCGAACTTCGGTTTTACGCGAATCACAATTGGGTGACCTGGACGCTTCGATAGAACTAACACTGTCAATTCCTTAGAAGTTTGTAACGGGAAAACACTTGATTACTTCTACGGATTTAATACCGATCATTTGTATTTGCCTAAAAATATCTGGATTAATGCTGCAGCGCCATTGACAAACTGGTATTAGGAAATCGAAACAACTGGTCAGGAAGCAGATGCGATTTGATATGAGATTATAAACTTCAACATCATTTTTAAGAACGTCATTGGATAGTTTAGTTTAATTTGAACCTGTGAATTAGTGATTAGATTTATTTTTTTAAATGGGTTAAGTAATCCTGTTTTTGAAGTGATTTGCTATGGTTGAAATATAACAAGTATTTTTTACACAGCTAGAATCACTTTTTATATGCTTTTAGAGAACAATATTTATTTTTATGTGACATTCTGTATATTGAACATTTTGAATCAAAATCCACAACAAAATTATTATAACGTCAGTGTTGTATGAATGAATACAAATATACAGTAAACGTTACTACGAGTCACTACAAGCAATCATTCAAAGTGCTGGTGTGAATATGGAGTAACATATAAATGTCCTAAGGCTTGATAGAATAAAAAATACTAATGCTAACAATGACGGAAGTCGAAAGAATTATCTCGTATCGTTTATGCTTGAACACTCGGTTGATCTTCATCAACGGTACTGATCTATAATGATTGGGTAACAATTGGGACATTTTCTTTCAACCACTGAATAATGGCAGAATATACTTCAGTCCATGTTCGTTTTCCACTGGATATCTCAAATAAATATTTCAGCTTTTCTCGATGTTCTGGGTCTATTTGATTATTAGCTTCTGTTAGGAGGATCTGTAAAGAGAAAAATGTCATTTCATGTACAATTCATATGCAGCCAGTTCATAAACTTGACAGTTTAAATTTGAGAATTACCACTAACTCATAGCTGAATAATAAGAGAATTTTTCTTATCTATTTCTTAGGATTCATCGAGTTTCACGCAACACACTACAGTGTAGTCACTAGTCTGAGTAGCTCCATACCGTGTTGATTTTCATTTGTGTTAGGGTTTGAATCACTTAGCGATAATATCTCGGACCGCAAATTGCAGAAATGCGTAGTTGATGAATGCGACCGTTTTCATTTTATTCAGTTCAACTTCAATGAAACTGTTTACGATTAATTGAGTGTGTACTACCGAACATTATCATATTTGTCTGAACGATCACATTCGGAAGAATAAATCACAGAACAATAGTGCATGTGCATATGGGACGAAACAAAGCAAAACGTGTAAAGCGATGGAAAATAAACAGGCTCCCCACTAACCTTTTCATAATTCCTTCCACTAAACAATGAGTAAGGATATTTAGTGAGTGCGTTTAGTATGGATTCCGTGAAGTCTCTGTGAAACAAAATTAAAGAGCAAAATTCAAAATTGGTGTGATTGTTTTCCATCAAGTATATCCATAAATAAACGACTGAGTACTTGATAGTGCTAAAAAGACAATCATCATATTCAAATAATGAAGAGGAAAATGCTCGGCACACTCAAGGATTTTCTCTGATGCTGTCCAAATAAGCACACCTATAGGGAGGCAATTTCATAGACCAAGAAAATCAAAGCATTATTCTTAACAAAGAAGGTGGGGATTACTATGAATTTTATCCTATATTGTGCACCCACCGATGAAAGCAACGACAATAATAAAGATCAGTCCTACAGGAGGCTGCAATCGATCATGACTAAGTGCTCAGGAAAGGACCTGATCATGCTAACAAGTGATCTAAACACGAAAGTCGGAGTGGATAACAACGGATACGAAGATATAATGGGAAGACATGGACTAAGATGAATGAACACAAATAATGAGAGATTTGCACGTCCATGTGCATTCAACAAATCGGTTATAGCGGCACAATATTCTCACGCAAATGCATACACCAAGTTAAATGTGCCTGAAAGGAAATGAGAAACAATCACATGACTCGAGGATGGTGGCAGGAAAATATACTAAGCAAGAGAGACCAGTCAAGGATAAAGAAGGCAAGACAATCACTGAGGTTGAAGAACAGAAGAACAGGTAGGCAGAACACTTTGAGAAACGCTTGAATAGGCCAGCTCCACTGGACTCACTATATATCGAAGCACCATTCACAGACCTTCCTACAGATGTCACTCCACCAACTATCGAAGAAATCAGGATGGTCATCAGATAAAACCAACGTCAAATTCAGGACCTTCGGTACGAACTTGAAGTCTGAGCTGAAACATGGAGAACTAAAACATCCATGATCTAAATGACACAACTGTGATTGCAGACTGACGTTCCAAGATGTTGGTATTCAATCTATCTCCTACATATAATGTATACTATACGACTTCACAAGCAAAACGCGAACGTCTGAAGTCAACAAGCACCACCAACCTCGTGACATTAATATGACATCGGTTCCTCACTGTCAATAGAACTTTAAACTCACTCATGTTTATCAAAATTAGGTACATCACTCAGGTGGTCCCATAAAAGTTGGTTACCAACTGGAGACTTCGCGAAATAATCAAGCGTGAACCAGAAGTTCTCGTTCTCTCTTACCCGCTCTAAGTACCTGATGAAAAGATGGAAGAAATGTTTAGCTAAGTAGGTGTGGTGTGCTAATTTAATCATATGAACATTTATATCTGTAAAATAAAAGGATATGGGGTCAGGAATAAATTATGGTCGATGAGATATGTAGCTAAGATGACTGGTTTTGACGACGATTCCTTCTCTTTTCATTGTGAATTCTATCCCTTCGAAGATGTCGTATTTTAAACTCCATCTTCTCGATGATAACGAATGTGTCGTGCAAATAACGAATCGACATTCTCAGTGTAATTATTGATAAATATGAAGTTTTCAGTTATTACATCACCACTTTGTAATAAGTCTTGATATCGGTAGTCCCATTGATGTCGGTTTTGTTTGTCAGTGAACGTTGTTGTTGAATTGAGAAACATTTGTTTAGTATTATTCGAGGGGTTCTAGTTGACTATAAACATTCGTGTACTCAGAGATGTTGTGAGTGCTGATGATAATCACGAGGTAATTGTTGATCCACATGTGCAACATTACTGGTCTCAGAATATCTACATGGAGTTAAATTTAGGTCAATTATGATATAAAAGCGAATTAACTGATGTTGACTATGTAAACAACTAGGATTTCAATCAGTGGTTCAAATTTGTCGTGTTTACTCGATGGTACTTTATAAACTCCTTCCAAAAATGTGAGTGATCAAGTTTTATGTAGTTTCAACCATAAATTAAAAACATGTCCAATGTCCTATTACATCTGAGAGTGAGTTGGCGTAAGCTCATGTTATAAACTTTCATTAGGCTTGATAGCATTTGGTTGTTCAATCGTCATTCGAGGAGTAAAAACATAAATCTTTACAATTATTCAATCGTAGTCATGGTTACACATAATTTCAGAAAATATCATGCAAATTCTGTGAAATCTTCGATTATAACAAACGGATTTAGATTATGCGACCATATTCATTTGTTGATAGTAATGGGGATTCCCAACATCTAGTCGGGCTACTGTTATCATTAACAGATGCGACAGTGTAATATTGAAGGTAACAGGTTAACTTACTCTTTCAAAATTTCTTTATCACGAGAACACGTTAATGCCAACATCTTGTTTTCAGTCTCTTCTTCATTTACAAAATCGTTCAACGTCAGCTGACTTTCTAAAAATTTCCATTCTACATGACCACCATGACGAATTGCTGTACAATAAGTAATGAATCTCAAATCAGGTCGTATGCTGTAAAACAAAAGAAATGTGGACAAGAACATTACTTTCATTCGATTGAAATGAAATTTCTTCTCTATATTTATGTCTATATGGGAAGTGATTTTCAAAATTTCCTAAACACTATTCAAAACAGGAAACGTTTATTTTTCTTTCGTTTACAGAGTTAGTCAACTTTCTTGTTATAAGATCGTAAGATCGATTTCAATACGTATGATTATTGTGTTACGTTCATTCATACATTACGCTTCCAGATGCATTTGTAAGCATAATAAGCATAATATAGCATCAATATAGCTCGGAAATATTAACTACTTAAATCTCGAATCATTTCCAGGTGTAAATGTTCTTCCTAAAATCAGTTTAATTTATTCTGAAAGATCAAATTCGCATGTTTTTATTTGTTTAAAGGTGTACTGTGAAATAAAAACATGGTTTGCACGTTTTTCACCCTAATATGAATCACAGAACCGGGGCTCAAATATTCTACCTATCATTCCGTACTCTTTGAACGCTTGTCAACTTAGCTCTGATCAATTATTTTCTCTGATTAATCGATCTCGTTAAGGCCATGAAACATCAAAAATCATAGATTCCATTAGGTGGAATATCTCAACTTCGAGGTAAACCGACTACGTTTCTTAACGATCGGTCGTGCACACACGACATCGCGATACAATAGATCAATGTAAATTATTTATTTATTTTATTTTAACATATTGATATTGGTACAAGGAGGCACCAAATACATATGCGTCACATAAATCTCACTTGATATGTGTGAGGGCTGTGATACTGCTAGTGAGCCCAAACCAAAGCAACTAGTTAAAATGAATCCGTCATTAAGAAACAACTACCTTGGTAATGGAAAAGCGTTTGACATTGAAGATAGAGGAAACAATACAAACCCTCTTCAAATTGTACTGTAACTGGAAGGATTGTCAGCATCAAACGGAATCCAGACTATGGATCACAATTCAATTTCACGCATGGCAGACAGCAAATGAATGAATACCAAGTGAAAATCGGTGTAATATAAGGCTGAGTACCTATTCTCTTGCTCTTTCTCCTGGCAGTCAACTGAAATGTGAAAACAGCCACATCTCAGGAGAAGTACGAAATACATTGGACAGCCTCAATTGACTTGGAAATTTTAGAGTTAGTAGATGACTCACTTCAAAATATCGTACATAAGTTGGAGTGCGTTGTTCAGAATGGTGTAGAAATGTCGAACGTTTTCGAAGATTTCCCGCAAATAAAAATCTTTTATTCATACAAGAGAGTTACTGTCGACTGACTGACAAATTCAGATAGCACACATCGTCCGTCTACTATATACATCAATTTCACAGCTGTTTCACTACGCCTACTGAATTATTTGTTCTTTACACCCAGGAAACCATAACATTGACAAACTATTCATGCATTCGTGTCTGACCACAGCAACAAAAAAACCGATCAAACAATCTATTTTAGGGTTTGTTTTAAGAATTAGTTTAAACAACATTCAACACAAATATAAAGGCCTAGTATATGGTGGTCTGTTTTATCATATAACAATCATTAATTGCATGACTAACGGGTTCGTTTCGGGCTTCGACATCCATCGTCTGAAGAGATCCGAAGTTTTGTTCACACAAAGATGATGTTCAGCTATACAGGCGAGTTTGGTCACGGTATAGTCAAAGCGTCTAAAATCGAGTAAATTGTGGAAGGATAGTTATGTTATACGTTAGAAAATATGTACATATATAAACGTTGTTTGCTTATACTGATCCGCTTATTATAAGTGTGCTATTTAGATAGTTGATAGAGATAAAATATCACGGAGATGCCTGAAGATGTTCATTGAGAACAACGGTTTATCCAATGGATTCGAGATTGCTCTGATTTTGTAGCTGAAACATAATGTCTTCACATCGAAAATGTTCCTAAATGTTGAATTGTCCTGAAACCTGTTTAGTTATCTCGTTACAAAAAATCGAATGTCATTAAACTCATCAGTTGGTACAACATCGACGAGCTGATGATTTCTGTAGTTCTTGATGAAATAAATTTTTCGTCTCATTTTAACGGCGAGCGTTTACCGTTTCCATTGTGATGAAAAAGTACGACTTTGAATATCCAATTAGGACCGCTTTTACTATACAAATGTCAGATAACTATATTACAACAATACACCATTTACAGTTAAATAACGAGTTCACTCAGGCAACAACAGCGTGTTTCTAATTACAGGAGCATACAATTTGAAGTGCACACTAACCAATCACTTAACCTTAAATTCCTTTATTCATTACTGTTCCAGTTTTTTAGCATGGTCCAGACATTCCAACCCCCCGGTGATGAATCTCACCCCTCTCACGAACCGTACATTTCATCTGTTTTCGGCTACGTTTTGCTTTAATTAGCATTTCTGATAACAATACTGGCAAATTCATCATATTCTGTTGAATGTCTTTCATACACATTGTTTCAAACAAAAAGTCTTCTGAGACTATATGGGTGATATGACAGAGTGGAAACATATGAAATGGAAATATTACTACTCACATCTTTGGAAGATCTTGACCTTTACCAACAAATGACCAATTCGCTGATCGGATTCGGTTATCGATAAGAGTTCGTAAGTATGCTTGGAAATCGTCATAATTCTCATTCAGAGCAAGCACGTTATTAATGTAAAGCAGCGATCGACTGACTGTTATCCATACGAGAAACTCATCTTCACGGTTTAAATATCTTGTCGCGTTCAGGAAAAGAGTATATGGCACGATATGATGACTGACAAGGAGGCCAAAGCAAAAGAAAATAGATAATTGTGAGCTAATTGTAAAGTAAAAAATAGGCTCGAAAAAACTTGTTTGAATAATTTGTTCACAGCCGAGTCTATAGAAGTTCAATATTTCACACTCGAACTCTGTGTACACCAGAGTCATGCTCAATGATATTCTTTCATGATCTCGGCATTCCTTCGAATTTCGCAATTTTCAAGTGCTTATTAATGTCTTTTTTGTATCCTCCTGGAATAAGTAGACCGGTATGCTTAACATTTATTTTATGGATCATTAGCTCTCATAAATTCAGAATCCATTACATAAGGTGACAACCTTTTCTATATCACACAAAATCAATTCACTTTCCTCGACTCCCACATGAATAAGTTTGACTATGTTTGACAAATATTTGAAACCCCGCTATTTTACCGTAGAATACTACATTTAAAAATTAACAATAAATACGATTGCACAGCTTCCGAAAATAATATCGTCGGAAGGAAAATTTCCTTCATACTTATCGTATGACTAGTTTAGATTCGTGATTATAGAACATGAAGAGAATTTATTGAGAAGAGTATTCTTCGTTTATATGTCTGTGAAATTACTTCACCCGACATGTTATAATTTTAATCAGTATTAAATGAGTAACCAACCGACGGTGTTGACAGATGTTTCTAACAATATAGCGTATAGTGTATTTTAACTCTTTGAGATTATGCCAATCTAACGTTATATTACAGTAAGGTTTACATAAATATCTGGGAATTTGAATGTTTCGAGTATTCAAAAGGACTATGTGTACTCCTAATTCACTCGAACTCATTGCGAACATTTCTAATCCAACTTACTATACGTTACATCAACTGTTTTGCTTCGTTTGCAAACTGTTGTACTAGTTTGCGTTTCCGAAAGGATCGGTTTCAGATTATGGGTGGCAATCAATTAGAATATCCTAGTTCCAAAACGTATTTCGTTTACAATCAGATGGTATGAAATATCGAATACTCATTGTTTTTACATAATGATTATTTTCAATCAATTTTTCGTGTTTGTAATTGGTATTTGGAATCAAAGTTATTAACTAGCCTGGTATTTTGTAACAGATTATATATCATCCCAAAAAGGAAATTGGTTTCTTTCCACTTCACACTTACTTTGCAAGACTGAATAAATCATTCAATATTTGTGCGCGTGAAAAGACTGGAATAGCCTAGACATAAAAAATTACATGAAAATTGAAATACCTTGTAGAACATTGAATCACAATGTAAAATACAATCAGTAAAATGAATGTCATTCCAAAAAGATTACATCTTAGTTTGTGACACTAAATGAAGAGCTGAAATTATGAATTAACAGCATAAAGCAAAATTCAATATATTTTGATGTACATATTCATGTCTCGAAATGCTTTCATTCATACACTACTTCCATATATGTCTGACAACATTTGATCAACTGTAAATATTGCATGACATATAGTATTTCCTCTCAGTTCGTATTTCTACCACTCAACTTCTACACAGTTGGTAATCTCTCGAGATAATAAAATGGATGACATGTTGATTTCATTCTTTCACGTTCTCCACTTTATACATTGTTATTTGCGTTCTTATATTTTCATGACAGATCTCAGCAACTATCTCCAAGTTTTACAAGATCTAGTCCAAGAGAGTGAACTACTCAGGAGCATAACTAGAAGAAGAATAAAGAAGCAGTAAATTTAACGGGTCAGTTGCTCAACCACAAAAATCATCATCACAAGGCATACGACTCTATCTGGCTTTTGTTACAGCACTTTCAACAACACTGTAATAGACCAGTTCAACAGAAACAACTGGACATCGAAGCTGCAATGTCAGCCAGCATACCAACTGATACGTTGAATTCAAGCACAGAAATACCTGCGAACGTGCTCTAGGTTCTATTACAATGATTTCAACACAGTGTTGTTGAATCGATCATGAGACTCAGTAGACTACGAAATTGGAGATCGACATTCTGGATTTCATAGGGATCGTTTGTGTGCAAACGAAATCGCAAAGATTGCAGATAGAAGTTGGACAATCAACTGAATGAAACTCGTCACTATACATTATATGTGATAACTAGAGATCGGTTGACATGGCTTCATAAAACCACTGGGTTGTGGATAAGATAAAACTGAAGCCGAAGTAAAGATGGACAACTGTATAAACAGCATTGAAATATCCAATGCATTATTTCTAGTAGATGCTGACAACCTGAATGAATTAAAAATGAATCTCACTAATGTATTTGAAGGTTTGAAATTCTACTCAGGCACTAGGAAACTATCATAGGGAACAGCTGAAAATGAGGCAGTAACTTTGACACGCCTGGAGTTGCTGGGCCACAGGATACCTAATATTGCTGTTTCTCTTCCTTTCAGCAGTCAACTGAAATGTGGATACAACCGCGTATCAGGAGAAGCAGAGAACACATTGGACAGCCTCGATTCACTTGGATATTATGATATCAGTAGATGACTCAACTCTTTCATACCATGCTTACCAACAATCCAGGTGAAGACAGTCAGTGTAGCAGCAGCCTCTATATCAGTAGGCCTCAACACTCACAAAAGAATAACCAAGATCCTCAAATGAGTCATGGAGAAAACCAACCAAATCACACTTGATTGATTAGGTCCGGAAGGGGTGGAAAAATTCACATATCTGGGAAGAACCATCAATTAACTATGAGGATGTGCGGTATAAGCAGAGGCAAGGATTGGCAAAGTAACAGCACTACTCCTACAGTGGAAGACATATGAGTCAAATACAGAATCTTCAGTACAAACATCGAGACGGTTCTAGTGTACTGAGCTGAAAATTGCAGAACTGCCATAGTCATCATCAAAAGGTTTATGTGTTCATAGACAGTTGTCCGAACAAAACGCTCTATATCGGTTAACCAGATACCATAAACAGCAACACACTGTGAAAGCGAACAAACTAACTTCCATCTGAATGTGAAAACACGACGAGCCGTTGGAGGTGGGTACGACAAGCGTTGCGTTAACCATCGGACTGAATCTCGAGTCAATCACTCACTTCGAATCCAGAAGGCAAGAGGTACAGAGGAAGACCAAAGAACATGTTGCGTCGAGAATTCGAGACATATCGAAGAATTGAAAAACGATTTTTGACGATTGGAAAGGAGGCTAGTATAGAATAGTTTAGAGAATCCTAGTTGGCAGCCTAAGCTGTTTCACGTATTGTCAGGCGACAGAAATCCAGTGTGCAATTATATAAGTAAGTAGGTAAGTAAGTAGATAATCAAGTAGGTAAGTAAATATTTAAATATCTAATTACGTTAGAGCGTCCTTATGTCAAATGACAAAAAGTTATTTTACATGTGGTCTCATACGTTTAATTGTTGAATGGTCATGCCGTCTGACTTAAGAGGTGCTGTGTTTCATATGAATTCACTTTAAGACAATGATTAAAGTTGGATATTCACAATGAATGAAGATCCATCCTCACTAGTTTATATTGAAATATCTTGTATCGCTTATCACATTCTACAAAATTTATCCTCATAATTATGCTTATTCATCAATTTACATGGTACCAACAAGATTAAATTTAAAATATTTGATAGAATAGTTATTTATGACTGAGAGAAACACAAGTGTTTTGAACAAACCGTGAAATTCCTTTGCAATTGATTGATTAATAAGATCCAGTTATTGTCAGCGTAGTGAACCCGATAAAATCCGCCTTGGTTTACATTCACCAAGTACCAGTCGTCTGAGCTTATGTTCATTGTTTGATTCATTTTTTCTTGTGGAAGCGAGGAATAATCAAATAAGTCACTAATATTATAATATTAATTATATTTTTATTATATTATTATTATGATTTAAACAGTTAAAGCTGAATGAGTGCGTGGAGTTTAAGTAATTATTTTCACCTCATCAATTTAATATTGAAGGGACGATAAACGTTTTCTTCTATGTAAGGTTAGAAACACGATTCAATATAAATTAGTACTACACTTGTTGGATAGGACAACCATGTTCTCATTGTCGAGAAAGGCTTGTCAAACCGACTATCTAGCCTCAGAATGTGACGCGAAGTATGTACAGGTATGTGAAGCATAATAATCATTTATACTAATGAAAATGGCAAAATGTTATTTCTTACTGTTCACCATCCACACAATATCGACATTTGTCCAGTTCACCGTTTGTGCCGACCCATAAGTGATCGGTATTCTCCAGGAGTATCTGAATGAATCAAAGCGCATAATAATGAACATTAAAAGCTATCAATCTATAAATATAATAATCAAAAACAGGAAGTTTGGTCGAGTACCATAAGAAAACACATGTTGATAATGCTAGTTGATCGATAGAGGTGAAGTTGTATTTCGAATTCAAGTACATAGAAATATCGGTTAGTTTAATCCACTACCAAGTATCCCTTCTACAATGTACTTTTTATCGACCTCCAAAATCTTTTCTCTAATTTCCTCTTCATTCGAATGATGGTTTGTTGTCTCCCGATGTAAAGTGCTGCTGATTGTATTTGGTCAACGGACAGTGAGCATCTTGTGCAGACGACTGTTAACAAATGCTTGTACATTTTTGATGATGGTTTGGTAGTTCTCCGCGTTTCCGCTCAGTACAACAGAACTATTTCGACGCTTGTATTCAACATTCTGACCATGATGTTTGCTTACATACATTTGTTCGGAGTCCCATATTTACTTCAACTATAAGAACGTAGTCCTTGTTTTGCCAACCCTCGCCCAAATGTCTGCAGCAAGCCCTCTTTGGTTATCGATGATGATGTCCAGGTACATGGAGGTTTCCACATTCACTGTCAATTTTCCGAAACCCTCATACATAATCGTTATATCCATGTTACCGAATGCTTAAGAAAACGAGAGGCCACGACACGAATTACAAACACCGGGATCGGCGAACTCGAAGATCAATTAATTCGAAAATATAACAACGATCGTAGTCGAAAAGACATTCACCATACATTGATCGTACGCCCATTTCGTTTAACGATTTGAATAAAATCACATGAACGAACAACACAGAGAAGTTCAACAAATCACATGCTACATTTCATGTTGAGCAGAGGTTATTTTAATTTCATACGAGTATATCGTATCTTGAATGAACACCACGCTGAAACAAATTATTGTTATGTCGAATAAAATATTACACTGGAAAATTAAAACAATAATACACCTATTAAGAAACGGAAGATATGATGGTTGAAAATCACAATGAGTCAAACTTGATTTCGCCTTTTTATCTCGTCATATAAGTTGGAAAATTGCAATGATTTAAGATAACCTATTGAAAATGTAGTGAGAGCGATACAGCAAATAATTCACTTGCGAAATGTCAATCAATTGTCTCAAACTTCATTATTTCTTCATTTTCAAACTAATCATTCTCTCTTCACCCTCTCTTCTCTTCGATCTTGGTAACATTCCGCTCCCAGGCATTCACTTTCACTTGATGGTACGTCCTAATTATATCTATCGACACCAGTACCACTCAACACGATAACAAATGTTGCATACATCAAAAACTCACTTTTCTTCATATATAATCTCTGAATACGGATGTTGTCTAAATTAATACATAGTTCACTTACTCACGATTTGTTTGAGATGACTTGTTACCATAGTGTTGAAAGTAACGTATCTGCTCAAAACTGAACACATTCGACCCATTTCTCTTTACAATCACTAGTGGATAATTCCCTTGTTTAGTCCATGAATCCATAATAAATCCAATGTCCAAATGATTTCCTTGAGTATTCCATTCCTAATTTCCAATTAAAACGAAATTTTGATTAGGTTGTTGGCCTTATACTTTTAATAAATAAGATTACAGCATCGCAAATGCTTTTGTGTTTCACTGATCTGAGGCGTGTTTCGAGGATAGTGGTGGATATAACTGAATGAAATACAGTTAAATTCACTGATTGTTTAAGACCATTCACTATAAGTTCATTTGTTGGGAATATAGTAGGTGTAGTAATAATTTAATGCAGCATGCTCAAGCATGATCACGTACGCAAACTGATTATTGAGGTTCTACCACTGTAATTACAATCGATGGAATGAATCAATGTATTAAAATTCAACTACTGCTACCATATAGTCTAGTGTCTTTTCAGAATAACAACAAAGAATATGTAGGAACAGTGTGGGAGAACAGATAGTACATAGGAATTTGAATCACGGAATTATTCATTAGATGATACCATAAATATTTGATCTCTTTTGAAATCTATTTCAAGGCAATAATTCTGTTCAGTAATAACAAAATGTGTGACGATCAGGAGAAATTATGCAAAGAACTCAACAACAAAATGCATTACACAAAATGTTTTTGTATTGATGTAATAATCAGCAGATGCTTACTTCAGATAATATCTTCCATAAATCCTTTTCATCTGTGTTCTTATATTGGTTTTGAATTAAATATCTCTTAAATAAATACAGAAAAACGTATTATATAAGACATTTCCGGATTTCAATTTGCAAGTTATCATGAATTTAATCATAGGATTTAAGCCTAGACAGAACACATTACAGCTCAGTGTTGTGTCTCTGCATTCTTTCAGAATACCACCCACAATCAAAATAAGATTCATGTTGAAGTGTGGTTGTTGAACGTCATAGAAATAACCGAACTTTACCATCTAAAATCCACAAATCAGTTACTAATGTCCCTTTCACATGGCTGTTAGCCCATTAAAAACGAGAAGTTCAGCGAATGGACACTTTTCAGTAAAATTAAGATCAAGCTATATATATATATATATTTATATATGTTTATGAATAAAATATCAAGCAGCAATTCATTGACTATATATGAATGGAGAATAAACACAACGATTTAATGGATGATCGTTCGACTAGTGTCCTTCAAAATTTCACATACACTGATCACTCTTATTATTATTAACACTAAACGTTTGAAGTGATCACCATAAAAGTACTCCAAAATGAATTTTGTATTTTCCAAACCGATTTTATATTCAGAAATATTCACTCACATTAGTGCAAGTGACGACCAATGGTGACAGATATACTGTACATAATTAGGTGGGATACAATCTCAACCAACGATCTATCAGATATAATGGTGAGTGAAGTCTGTTTAGCATAATTTGTTTGTAACGACATTGACACCGATGATATAAAATATTTCACTGATTTAGCTACAATGAATATGGTTTATGAGTTGGTCAGACAACATTTAATTTTAAAAGCATTTTCCATTTGTTCATGACGACATACGAGTTCAAGTTTTTTATTAAGTAGAGTGTCTGTTGATAAAAACTTGTTATAGCGTTTCAAGGAGTACTTGTGTTGAAGACTGTAGTGATCAATGGATACTGTGTTGTGTTATGTTGCGTAGTACTGAGTAATAGCTAAGCAAATGATATGGGGACTCTCCGTATTGGAAAGTCTCGAAGAGAACTTTGAAAATACTTAGTCAACGAAAAGAAATCAGTTCACTATTGAATGTGACCATTGAGACTAGATTATATGACACTCAGTTACAATAAAATAACCACTGTCAACGTACTTTTAAACCGTTTTGAAACGCACTACGGCCCATGAATTTCTCCATCATCCAAACCAAGGAGGCGCCCTGTGAATTATTGAATGCAATGTAGAATATTAACATATATATAAAACACGCAATGAATGTGTAGGTAAGTTAGATTGATCAGTCAGTTAACTTTTGTCCAATCGAAGATAGGATGCAACAAAGTTAAGATACACTTAGGAATATTATCGTTTTCGAATAGAATATGTCACGTGGTTGAACACTGAATACTTTCGCATTATGATGGATTCACACAAAGTGGAAGATTACGTGTACTATGGTTTGGTTGATTCACGTAAGAACGTAGGAGAATTATAATCACGTGTAGATTGTTTCATAATACTGAATTAGAAGTCGTTTCATTTACTTGGTCTAACAAATGTTATGCAATCATTCAGGTGGTGACTGTTTTCTATCGTGTAAATAAAATACTCGTTTTTGTAGTCTTAACCTAGATATTAAGCTGAAGCTTAAACATCACGGAAATTTTGTTGTGTAATCATCTTAAAACGTACACAATTCTGTTAATTGCAAATATGAGAGAATGATGAACTTCATGATTTCGAATGTCAGGAGTGTACTCAAATATTCGGATACATCAATCAGTTACACAGCATTATTTATGACTAATTAGAAATGTGTTGAAATTGTTATGAATAACGAGTTTCTCAATATCAAGATGTTTAGTTGGAATCCTAGAACCTCTACTGAAACTAGCTGTCAACAGAAATTTGTAACAGCCTTGACTCTCCCTTGGCTGAATTAGGATCATTAAGAGATTTTACTCACTATTATTTTGCATATTCATTGATCGTTTATTTTTCTCCACCTCCCTGCTCACTTATTTCTTAAATATATGCCTTATTGTCCAATTATCTGAAAACGTATAACTGCGTGATGTGACAGCTTTCATGAACGTTATTTCAGCATCTATATTTTTCAAGTCATCTGCCTATTTCCAATTATGAAGCATAGATTCGAGATTTTCATATTCTTATCACAACTAGTGCACCTGTCATCACACCATTAATTCGTTCTCCTTAATTATTATGTTTATTTGTGTAATCTACTCCACTGTTATCCCTGACTCATCGACTCCCTTGATTGGTTCAATAATTTTGTACATCCTTATAAATATTGTTGTATATTAGAGTCAAATCCGACAGGGATCTATTTGAAAGCAATAATGCTCATCCATATATGGTGTTCTCAAACACAATATTTCAATTTTCAGAAAACTAAAATACAACATTTGAAAAAGTCAACAGCCAATACAGAACTGACCTTATCATAGGTGATTGAATCAAACATGCTTATGATTTGTATTGTAGTATTAGCTGGATAAATGACTGGTCTTGATTTCATCGAAGTATCAATATCAAGTGCAGGCATCAATTCATTCAGTATGAATAGTTCATCCTATTCATCGAAGAAAAAGATAATCTTTATTGATAAAAATATTATCCAGAATATAATCATAATGTGTACTAGATTTGTTCAAACATTCGCCATTATTTAGTGAAGGGTCGTTAATTATCTCAGTATTTGTGAATTCTTCAAGCGCCATCTGAGAACTGATTAAATTCTTCCTTATCATTACAGAGTGAATTCAAACAATGCTCACTACTTGAATTAAAGTCAAATTACCTTTCTGGATGAATGAGATGGAGTTCGAATAAATCTTAAATTTTAAGAATTTATGTAATTTGCTAAACATTCTGTGTGTGTGGTGTTCAGCGATGCGAAACTTCATATATAAATACCCGCTTCTATGCAGCATGTACATGTTCTAAGAAAAACATTTATGAAATGACAAGCGACATGTGCAAAATGAAACAGCGAACTGATAATATCCTCAAAGAAAACACTCAACTTACTACTTTCCACTCAGGATGTAGTAACTGTACTCCGATGTATTCGAAAAATGTTGCGAAGCCTTCGTTCAACCACAAGTTATCCCACCATTTCATTGTCACCAAGTTTCCTACCCACTGAAAGAAATGTGTTTAAACTGAAAGCTGATAGACGTAACACATTTGGATTGTTCAATCGATTTCGATATTTACATGAGGTCATAAACTTATATTGTTAAAAATGATTCTTGTAGATTTTGATGACATCTTATATTCCGTTCCTGAATACCAGTTGCAAAGGAATTCTGAATGGTGTAGTGAAAATGAGTAACTCATGGAGTTCAACTACAACTTGTGAGAAATGATTACATAGGAGCAGTAATTGTGTTATATTTACAATATAACCACATGTAAAATAGCGAAAATAGTGACTCGGCTTGTCAGTAAACCGAATTTGGGTAATAATGACATATGAGGTGATGAATGAGCAACAAACATTTAAGAAATCGCTTGAATTATTAGAATAATTATTTTACTTAACACATCTATCAACAATGAACAACAAATGAATAGATTTAGAAACCTGTATTATTACAGTCCAACTTAATGCAGTAAACAAAACTAGCTAGCCAGAAATCTCAGATATCCTGTGTGTTGTCATTGCTGCAGTCGAAAACCACAATGTATCAGTTTTCGTTCGTTTTCCAAGTAGTGTAAGTTTGTTATCCGAACGATCTTTAAATTAAAGAGATATAAAGTGAATTTAACATTTCGTTCTTCGTTTAAAAGCATACCTGATGAGCAAGTTTATGTGAGACAGAAAACGTCACATCAATTAGGGTATTTACTGAACCGTTTTCTGCGTCCCATATCATTTTATTTTCATCATAAGTGATCAAACCCCAGTTTTCCATTGCCGTTATTGAAGAGTTAGGAATCGCAATCATATCTGAAAACATGATGGAAGATATTTTGCAAATGTAAACGGTTCTAATCACATACATACGTACATACAAATATACCTATATAAATACATATATACGTACATACACTGTTGTGCATGCCTAATAAAAAGGAATACTTATGCACATCAATATGTATGCAAATATTTACCCCAGTTAAATGGCTGAATACTTTCGTTTTGGATGTGATTATTTGTTCTCTGAAGAAGTGACTTACATTGAGTCACGATATATCAGAAAATTTAATGTTTCTACCCATTGGAATATTACAAATGTATTATTTATTTATTGAATATATTTATTATGATTCAGTCCACTCCAGTTCAAAATATAATTAGCGTAATTAAACTAAAATTGGATTTGGTTGATCATGCATCCCTTTCAGTTATTTAGACCTTATTGTTTGGTTGCATAGTTTACATTGTACAGTATTTAATTACACATATATTAAACGTAAACACATTTGTGTGAAATACCTACCCATTTTAGGAAGTGAATAGGGAATGCCAAAATAATCTTCAAAGTATCCCAATAATTTTATGCCAATATCAAGTGCATATTCAGCTGATCGAATTTTATCCGGTCTTGCCCAAACAGTGAACTAAATGAAAGAATTATTTTATCCAGAAATGAATCATTCTTATGAAAAACTTTAATGAACTTCAAGTCATTATTGCTACAATCTGATAGAAGAGACTGTTTTCAGTGTCACGAGTGATTCAACCACTTTGATTTGATTGAAACACAGAGAACTCAGCATTGTTAAAACAATGGCTCGTACCATCAAACAATACTTGTGCTTTTGAATACTTGAATGGAACATCCTCTATTCAGGTGTTCTGTTTTAGTTTCTATCATCACTGTGGTGTTGCAAGCGTGTTCACATAACTTCGAAACATCGAGGAACTGCTACTGCTTCACATTGAGTACTGGTATGTATGTAACGTGGATCTATGTATATCCCTAACCGTCTCGAATAATCGGTTGCATGCAATCTCATGATGGTTCTTCCTGGATATACGTGATTTCGATACATTACAAAAGTATTGCATGGAGAGTTACAAAACATATGTTTGATTGATAACACTCACGTTTCGTCCACTATTGTCTGTCCTCTGAATATTCGAAAACTGTGAAACCACAAACGCCAACAGATATGTGGACATTTTCACACTGGTGTTATACCTGTCGACACGCCAATTATCGTACAACACTTCCGTACTTTCCAAATTCATGTTTGAAAGCGAATGAAAATTTTTGTCGCGTACAATATTGACCTGAAAGACACAAACGTGAGAAATTTGTTCTGGAGTAATAAATGGCATGTTTAACCAATCAAAACAATTTAACATACTTACCGTGCTTATCTAGCAATATATCAGATATCCACCTGGAAATCCATAACTCATGTGGAAACTAATTTTCTAAAAGAGTTGATGGATTACTCATGAGCCAATCATGGAAGTGTTGTCTGACTAAAACATGTTGCATACTGAATAGGCTATATGTTCATATGATCTTGAGTGCCATCTGCGAATGCTTGATATTCACCTGAAGTTTTCGTCACACATAAGTAATGAAACAAATGAAAATATGCTCACATTTAAGATTTATCAACACTGGTTACCTAATCATTGTTTATGGAGAGCTTTGTGGTAACATGTAGATGGTAGGGAGTATTGTAACTCAATTCTGTACATTGATTTAGTGCAAGAAATCTATTGCTGTCATTATATACGCTAACGTTCCAGAAGAGAATACGTTATTTCAAATTGTCGCTGTTTGTATTCGACCGGGTTAATTCCAGTAAATTCTCATAAGAACATTGTACATCGGTTTTAGTATATGTGCCTTTTAACAGATAACCAGTTGCCTTTAAACAATATGATATACATCATCAAATTTTGAAGTGTGTTGGTAAAACGAGGTCATGAACCGATTTAATCAATTTAACCAATAATGTGTTTCATAACATGACTGAAATATGCTAAGCTCATCACTATCATCAATCACGTGTTCGCATATCACACACACAACATTTAAATCACGAAGCATCACTTGGTTCAATAATTTTGCATTTTATTAAACTGAATCCGATTCACAACAGATCACAAATCATACGGAAAATTATGAAAATGAAATAAAAGTCAAATATATCATACCTTGAAATTTGCTTTAAATTCCGGCTCATCCCAACATGGAAATACATTCCTTGCATAAATTGACTCCATGTAAGTACTTGCCAAGTATCTGAAATATATGTATAACGGTGAACATTTTTTTACAAGTACATATCTCATTTCCGATAGTTGGTGCTTAAAAATGTGCTTTCGAACGGAGAGAACCGTCCCGAAAGAAGTATCCTGCCCAACATGTCACCTGTGATTTCTGACGAGTTACCATTCATATGGTCCACTTACTTCGGTAAGTCATTGTGTCATTCACTGTGTTGCTCAGTACATCTACACAATCATATTTTCGTTGACGTGAAAAGTTTTGACTCATGTTCGATGACTTGTGAATTTGTTATCATCACGTTTATACGCTATTTGGAATAATCCACATTTATTATTTTATATTGATAAGGCAGCGAAAATTCACCAGTCTTTCTAAACCTTCCAAAGATTATTAGTTATCGGTATTTATGTCTCTATGGAAAACCAAATGGAATTGTAAACCATGTAATAATACTGATCATAGTTACGATATGATGACTACAGGACATTTCACACATCAGTAGACACACATTGTGTTCCTAGAGAAGAATTTTCATTGTCGAGTTAGCACTGAATAAATGCATCTCTAACCAAAACACAGTGAGCAAATAAACGTGTATTCTGAAGTGATTGTTAAGTGTTGATCATCACTGTTCAAGCATGTATGCAAATGATTGTGTTATTTGCGGTCACCATTGTGTTGGTACCCGATACCAAATAAACCTGCACATATATGTCTTAAATCGAGACTCACTTGTAAATCCCATTTTCCAAATATTTGATAATATACAGTCCATCAGAATCATAGTCCATATCAGAACGAAACTGTCCAAATGTCAGGTTGTAATAAGTATATTGTTGCAAAGGCGTTTTGAGTTTAATTCGATAACACTCAGCATCTTCAATATAATGAACTTCGTCTATTTGAATATAAGAACTTGTTTGATTTTTTTCATGAAGAGGAGACATCTGTTTTCAAAAAGCAGAGACGGGAATCATTGTAAAGTCACAATATTTATATTCGATCACAAAGAAAATTCACATTTTGAATAGTTGGTATTTTATTTCCGTTTATGTAGAGAGTCGGATTCTCTAATGTGAAGGAAGAAGAATAATACGAACAAAAATCTCTTATGTTCAGCAATAAATATTTCTGTCTGTAGCTCTTTTAGGATTCCTCCTCGTTGCGAATCCGGATAAATGAGGAGTGTGAGTTATAACGTTAGCCACCACGTGCCACAGAAATCAACCTTGGTAAAACATGACTACACAGAATCATCATTTGAACCATTTAAACTCTGGCCTCCAAGTTTAGGGATACTTAACTAGAAGAGTTAGGATGCCTCATGGTGAAAACCGGGATTCCTCAGAAGGCACGAGGCCTATTTACCTTCCTGCAACCAGAACAACTATTAGTATAGTTACATGGAATGTATGGACAATAGGGGAGGCCGGGAGAACTGACTAAATAGCTACGGAAATGAGGAGTGATATTCGGACCCAGTGAAACACATTGAACCAACCTGGACAGATCATCCAAACAGTCTTATTGCACTGAACTGAAAATTGGATAACTATCACAGCCATCATCAAAAGAGCACAAACATTTATGAACAATTATCTTCAAGAGGTACTTAATATTGTTTGTCCTGATAAAATGAATAACAAACTAGTTTCCAAGTGGACAGAAAATTAAGAAAAGACGTCGTGATTGGATAGGAAATATATTGTGTAAATCACCAAACTTCATCACGAGGCAAGTACTAATTTGGAATTGTGAATGGAAACTGAAGAAAGGAAGACCAAATAACACACTGAATCAAGTATTAGAAGAAAGCACTGACTGGATGAATAGGAAGTGGAAAGAACTGAAAAGGATTGTTTATGACACAGTTGGATGAGGAATGCTGGTGGACGGTGCATCCAGCTGACGAGTCCCGAATAAGACAAACGTGCGTCTGGGATTCCACTGCTAGCCACTATCCATCCTTGCTTATAATGTTCATGGATTCATGCAATATCCATACAATACGCACATTATGTATATGTGCATATAAGAGAATGATCAATTGAAGTTGTAAACATCAATGGGAACATCCAAGTTAAAAAAATACCAAGTGGATTTAGTCTTTAATGTGTTTCTCAGTTGAACTATTAAAAAAGCGGTGATTTTGGTATTTTCAAGGGATCCGTTTTGGATCTTGAATGTAGAATCTTATGCTTAATAAGAACTTTCGTCTAAATTTGAACGAATGGTTTCACAATATTTGGGCACCTAGTTCATGTGAGTCATTAAAGAATCTTATGCTATCTGATAAAATCAATTGGTTGACCCCTTGAATAAATTCAAATTTCTTAGGTTAGTGACGCTTAATTTGTTTAAAAATGAGTTTTTTTCGTGTATATGATATTTTTTGTTTTAGTAAAATAAATTTTAGTTAACATCTTACGTTTAAGTAGTTGCCACTCTTGTTTCCTTGCGTACAAATTTACTTGCAAGTTGTTTTCAAATAATTTGAGAAATACAATGATGTAATTGTGTTCTGACTTGGATCATATTGTGGTGTGTTCTACTTATGTTGACATAAGCAATATATGATGATAATCAGGAACAGAATGTCTGGTAGCAGAGAGACTGGTGGATCGAACAGTAAATAATGGAAACAGAAGGCAATTTGTTTGAAAATGCAAGAACAATGAGGTCTGAGTCATTTTGGGACAATTGATGGTCATTTTGCAAATTTAATAACAGGTTCTGTGATTTCCTAGCTAAAACATTCGATTGTCCCCACTGGTGTTTTTGTTCACTACAATATAATTGGAAATTAATTAGAAGCGAATTTCTACTTGAACTTCAGTCTAGTCAAAATTCTGTTTGAATCACTGTCAAATAAAGCATTATAAACGATGATTCTGAAAACACATTTTGTTGAATAAACTTCATCTATGTTCTGAATTTCAGTTAATGATGGATAATAATTTTAACAGTCATATTATTATCACATACGTGGTAGACATTTGGTCGATCATGTAAAATTCGGTTGACAGAGACAAATAAATTATTGCTTCACTCACACGATGTTATTGACTTCCAAGTTTACTTGCTTAAGACATTTGAATGTCCACTTACAACTTATCAAAATGTCAATTTATTTAGTTCAGCGAGGTATTCCGATTAGGAACCAGTTTTTATTGAAAAACAGTCAAATTAAAAAAGTTAATGAAATAAAGGATACTTTTCATACAAATGATGACAGAAATGTAGGTGAATTTTTAATTTTATTGTAGACTCTTGCATTATATGAGTTTGCCAGTTGAGTTTAAACTCATTTCAAAGAACGGATTATTTTCCAATAAACGTCAGTTTGAAAACTATAGCTTACATGGATTTGATCCAAGCTCACATTCAGATTATCGGCTGCATGTACAAAGAACTCGGTTGTCGACACATTACAGAAAACTTTTATTGTCACAGATCCATTGAAGAAAAATGCTTGTGACTTGTTATCATGCAAATGGACTTGAATTGACAAATCGTAGAGATGTGGAAACAATGTGCGTGGTAATCTAAAATCCTCTGATGAATGAATCGACACATTATTGTCATCGCCGATATTTTCAGTTGCACTAGTAGTTAACGTATCTAAAACAAACGTTCGAAGGAGAATAAGCATTGTTCATGAATCGGTATTAATCAATGAGTGAACACTGTTCACACAACATTGTTCACTACAACAAGGAGATAGTCAACTCAGTTCACGGTTAGATCGTACTATAATCCAGATGAAAATGAAGCATCTTCCTCTACCAAGTTTATTTATATTATACACCTTCAGTAAAACCAGTCATTTGAGCTTTTTCAAATTTATTTTGGTGTATCTTGTGCCAAAAACAACTGAAACTAATATGTGATTGATGTATTTGTAATTTGCGTTGTTGTTAATCGCTCACGAACTATGTTGCATTATACAAAATAGGGTACATGAAAAAAATAAACATTTCGTGTGCTTCGGGTATTTTCACAATGAGCATTTCAGGATTTTACATCTACAACCCTATCCATGAGAATCAAACTGAGGTAATTCAGTCATGCTCTCGAAAGAATGATCTCTAGACCACTGGACCGGAATCGAACGGTGCTTTAGACCCACCTCACTCCATCCACGATATTGGGCGACCATCTTCCGTTGTCTTCAGTGAGTACGTGACATAGCATAAGAATCGTTAATTTGTTAATCATATGGATAAAATATTAAATCGCAGATCTCCATTCAACGAGGCTGCGAATGATTAAAGAGCACTCTATTTATAATATTTCTAGTCACGCGATAAAATATTTACGTAGTTTCAATGTTTAAGCTACTGCATCGTAAGGATAATGACACTGGTAATAAATCTTCAGTCATTAGGTCAAAAACACAATAAAAATTAATTGAAATATACATACTTGTATACGCTGAATCGAATTCAAAAAAATTAGACCTGCTCAGTGCTGAAGCATCATCGACTAACATAAACGAAAGGATTAACACAATCAACATGATGAATGATTTCTTTGACCGCAATAAAGTTGGGATTGCTAGCGTTTCTGCATGTATTGGGTGGAGAGATAGACAATGATATGTGGAATCAAAATGTCTTCCATCAGCATTATCCACAACCAACATGTTCACGGGGTTCTTGAGTTTAGATGATTGTCAATCAAGGACAATATCATGTATAAGTATCACACAGTGGTTAGCACAGTTCTCTTTTATAGATATTTTACTAACGAATAACAAATGAGATCACAGAAAAAACGTGATTTCTTTAAATGCGTTTGACAATTCGGAACAATTTCGCGCTTACAGACTGTGATCTAAACTTATAAGAATAAGGTCAACGAAAGAAATCTTGCCTAGTGAACTGTTGACCTTCAAACAGTGTTAAGTTACATGACAATGGTCATATGCAATGTTTGACATGATTGCTTGACTTTTATTGTTTCTTTTCGAAGCATTTGTGAATGCTGGTCATTGTTCTCCTAAACTCTTTACATTTCCTTTTTCGGTTTACGACCGTTTTATAGCACGAGGACTATTAAGCCGATTTTGTGATTATTCGTCTATTTTTTTTTATTTTTCATCAAGTTTTGTTACTGTGAAAATATCAATTTATGGTGTTTGAATGAACTAATGATATCTTTCTACTTCCTGCAAGCTTGGTTTCGAATTCTGAATACAGTATAGCCGTTTGTGGTTATCTAGTACTTCTTGATCCGACTACGTTATTGCTGGGATTCTTAGTTCACACTATAGTTCAAATACTTCTAATTATCATATTGGCGTCGCGATGGAGCCTGCGATGGAACAGTTAGGTATTCATTCAACTTCTGAATCTTTTGAAGATTATTTGGAAAGGTTTGAAATCTGGAGCATGACTAAGAAAGATGTTGAATGTGATAAAATTGTGGCACATTTCCTGAAATTCATCGGAAGAGAAGCGTACAGCATATTAAAATTTTTGGCATATCCAGAAAAACCTATCTCACTTCCTTATGCAACTCTCAAGGAGCTAGCGTTAAATAATGTAAAGTGCACTAGTTTCAAATGCCGTGAGAGGGCGAAATTTCATAAGATGATTCGTCGAAATGAACAAAAAGTTAGGGAATTCATCCTTGAATTGCAGAAACAAGCTGTCAAATGTAATTTCGGTGATCAATTACATGTGTAACTGAGATCGATTAATTGTAGGAATTAACATAGCGGGTTCGGGAAGAGAACTGTTAAGAATTCCGAACTGTTTCTTTCAAGATGCTAGATCTGCGTGTATTAACTACGAGGCAGTGAGTGAACTTGATGTCCAGTAGATGAAGATTTCTAATACATTGTTTAGTCGTCATGATGAACTACAAACTCAGGGTAAATCAAACTTGCGTTCTTTTAACAGTGATTCCTATTCGCGTGTAAATATGAAAGGTGTTTCAACAAGGAATTATATAACAAGCCACAAAGGTGAGATCAAGTTTGGTAAGTGTTGATCATGCGGAAAGTTTCATTCTCGTAATTCATGTGCATTTCTTAATGCTAAATGTTTTAAATTTGGTAAGATAGGACACATTCAGTCAGTATGCAAAGTTACTGTCCATTTTACATCAAGTAGTACTAAATCTTGTAATTGAAATCTCAACAATTCGGATGTTTCTACCGATCATTTATATATTTCTACCATTTCGAAAGGTAACGCTCATATTCAAAAGTGATTATATACATCGCTTGGTTCAGTTAATGAATTTATTGTGGACACAGGCAGTATAGAGTTCAATATTTCATTCAAGAACTTGAAATCTTTTGATCCTCACGTTGTGGCACGACCCACTGAAGTATCAGTTTTGAGGATTAATGAACACGGACTGCCCATACGAGGATGTTGTGAATCGCTGATAAGAGATGATAATTCTTCATACATACCTTGTGAAAGTTAAGTTAGCGAAACAGGAATGTCAATACTGGGCTTAAGGAATTTGAAAAGGCCCTGAGTGGAGTTGTCTTTCCTAGTCTCTAAAGAATATTCTGATGTTCTACTTAAGGATTTGATAGCTATGTATACTAAGTGCAGTCGAAGTATGAAAATTCAGACTACAAAACTTCAAATACAGAGTGATCCAGTCTTTCATGGTCTTCGAGAAGCAGTGCATAAGACTTTAAAGGATTTGTGTGCGAAAGGCATAATTGAACCGATTCAGTCTTCAGCATGTGGTGCTCCTATTGTTACGCCACTGAAGTCGGACGGCAAGACACTTAGAATATGTGGTGACTATAGATTAACATTGAACTCCCGTTTGTTGTGGCAGACGTGTACGACAGTAGAGGCTGAAGATATTCGAAATCGACTTTATGGTTCTAAAGTGTTCTCGAATGTTGACCTAAAAGATGCTTATCTTCAAGTCGCTTTATATCAATCGACTATTTGGTCTAAGTTGTTGTGCAGTCATATTTCAGGAATTTATGAATAAAGTAGTTAATGATCTTGAAGGTGTTGAAGTTTATCAAGATGATTTCATTGTTCATGGTCCTGATAAGGTAGTTCATGACGAGAGACTTATTGCTTTATTACGTCGTTCAATTGAGAAGAATATTACAGTGAATCCAAATAAGTGTTTATTTTGTGTATCCAGTTTTGAATGTCTTGGGTACCTAGTTGATGGTAATGGATTTAGACCAGATATGAAACGACTAGCTCCACTGACAAATGCACCGTCTCCAAAAAATCTTACAGAACTACGTTCACTAGTGGATGCTCTTCATTACTACTCCCGTTTTGTTCCTAATTTTTCTTGTCGTGCAAATTGTTTATTTAATATTTTGACATCCAATTCAGTCAAATGGGGTGAGGAGCAGGAGTTGTGCTTACGAAGTCTACTGAAGTTTCTTCAAAGTGATGCTGTACTTCTAACTTACTCCCCTAGTGTACATTCTGTGCTTTTCACTGATGCATCACATGTGGGTATTGTCGCAATTTTTAGAACAGGAAAGCAGATCAGTTATTTGTGTTTCACGCAAAATTACTGTTATTGAACAAGGTTATTCACAGACTCAGCGAGAAGCTTTGGCTGTGTTTTGGGCTCTTAAACGACATCATAAATATTCATTCGGAAAGAAATTCACTATTACTACGGATCATGAAGCTCTAAAGTTTATTTATCATCCTGAAAAAATCCTTAGCACGTTTCTCAGCTACTATGGTTCAACGATGGAGTATTGCTTTGAGTGCATATGACTATACGGTTCAGCACAGAAGTGCCAAACAAATTCAACACGTTGACTACATTTCTCGACAGTTATTACACGATAGACCTAATAATACTTCGGACTGTTTGTTAGTGCAACCTTTACCAGTGAGACGTCCAGATCTCATTAGAGAAACTCGCAGATATTTTGGATGTATACTCAGTTCTATACGAAAAGGTTGGAGTGCTAATTTGAAACGTAGATTTCCTGTTTATTTTTCGAAGCGGGATGAGCTATCCACTACTCCTGATGGTATTTTATGATCAAATGATCGTGTTGTCATTCTCCCTTCATTGCGTAAATCTGTTCTTGAAGATCTTCATAGTGGTCACTTAGGTGTTGAGAAAATGAAGTCCTTGGCAAGGTTCACATGTTGGTGGCCAGAGATAAATGCAGATATATGTCGTACGGCAAACAATTGTGAAAAATGTCATCACGCTGACTATTGTGGTCATTTTCTTGGCAAACGCTATGCATTAGTAATTTTTGATTCTTTTTCAAAGTGGCCTGAATTTTTTTCACAACCTCAACAAATTCTGCTTTCACAATGCAAGCATTAGGAAAGGTGTTTAGTCGAGAAGGGGTTCCTACGGTGTTAGTGACCAATAATGGCTCTCATAGGGTGCAAACATCTGTTTGCTGCTCCCAAACATCCTTGTTCTAATGGTGAAGCAGAAACTTTTGTCAGGACATTGAAAAATGCTATTTATTCTATTGCCGCCTCGACGTATAATGAGCTGGGGAGGGGAGTAGATGTCTTTCTACTGCAATATAGAAATGCCAGACATTTGGTGACGAAAGAAACTCCATCGAAGCTGTTTAAAGAAAGAGTTTTTTGGTTGAATATGAGATATTTGGTGTCCTCAGAAGTTAC